GGGACCTTATTTCGGAAAAAGTATGTATTGAAGTCAATGGAGAGAGAAAGATTATCTTTCGATCCCGTTTGAATTGTGCCACGAATTACACATATGATGTTTGCCAATTTAAAAGATAATTTTGCAAGTAAAAAAAAAAAAAATGTGTTGTAAAACTGTGAAGTAACACATTTGTTTGTGTGAAATGCTCAATGAACTACATCTCTGGTCTCACAGAACAACACACGTCACCAAGATGGCCGTCACTACTGTCTTGTCAACAAAACGATTGACTCCCCTCACTATCACCACAATGAAACACGTCCTGAAGAAAGTCATGCAAAGCTGCCTGCCTGCCTTCCTTTGATTCTCTCTGAACTGCCTGGTCGTTTTAATGTTTAATGTCAACCATTTGTGCAGATAGCATGAAGTAGAGAAGATCGCTAGCGTTAGCGTTAGCATTTCTCCCCCGGTCTTAAATTGTGTATTATAGAATGATCACACCGGTGACAGTACTATTCAAAGGGTTCACGAAATATGACTACTACTCTTACTGTTTAACATTTGACTTCAATGCATAATTTTTCCGAAATAAGGTCCCATGGGGCGGGACTTCGCCTCTCTATACAGGTCTCATGAGTGCCCAATATATATTCAGAAGTGATGATCTACTCGCTCCCCACTCCTGTCACGGACTCAGCTCTTCTTCTTCTTCTTCTTCTTTGTATTCGGCAGACTGTACAATGCAATGGTGTATTGCTGCCCTCTATCGCTACTATTGGTTAATTTATCATTTTAACAAACCTATTTTCACCATATTTATATTGATCTAATATAGAGTGTATATATATATATATATAACATCAGTTTCTTAATTTTAGTCCAATGATCCGGGTTAAGTAGTTTGCACAGAGTTGCTTTTGGCTTTTAACAGCTTCCTCCTTTGAAAATGGATGAGGACAATTCTTACTTCCCAGATTCTACTCACTCACATTAGTCATCAAGGTGATCAAATGTGTTTTTGCACTCCCTCGTCTTTTTTGTTTCCCATTTATTCCGCCACTACAACTTTTCTGAGGGACCATATTGTAGGACAGTTTCCTGTGCAGCAGTATATTTTTGGCAAACTTGTTGAAGTTCTCTTATTGAGTGACTGCATGTTTGATGTGTCTGGTTTATTGTACTCTACCCACCGTAGTGACCATGTAATACTCTGAATTCTCAAATCTGAGCCGGATTTGAGCTTTAAGCTAATTTCCATCAACATACAAGAACATGAGATTTATATACATAGCAAAAATAAATACATGATATGCAGGAAGAGCATGAGCAGCATACAGTACAAGCATTTACCACATGGCAGTACAATGTCAGCTATACAAAGTGCAAGATAAGATAAAAGTGCTACATAAAGTGCAAGAGGAGATACCCCTGTATAAAAGTGCATTTAGCGGTGATTACACGTCTGTTTGTTGCTCAACCATTCTTTGAGTTGACCTTTAAAACTATTGAGAGTGGGACAATCCCGTATCTCAGTTGGGAGGCTATTCCAGAAAGAGCTGCCTTTAATGGAGAGGACATTTTGTCCAAAAGTGGTCCGTCTGTGGTGGACTTCACAGTCTCCTCTGGTTTCTGACCTAGTGCAGCGTCCAGTGTTTATTTTGTGGATGAATTCCCCTAAGGGGGGGGGGGGGGGGGGGGGGGGGCAGTCCATGTAAACATTTATAAAAAAAACACAAACTTTTAAAGACTTAAAATGGTCAAAACTCAATAAATTGTGTTTCTCTAGGATGGTACAGTGATGGTATGAATGTGGCTTTCTGTCAAACACCTTGATATCTCTCTTGTACAGCTGTTCTATGGGTTTCAGGTTTGTGGCACAAGCAAACGACCAGTTGGTAAAACAGTATTCAATGTGGGATAGAATCATACAGTGGAGGTATGACTTTGCAGCATTGACAGTTAAGAAAGGTCTGATTTGTTTAAAGTTTTGCAAGTTGAATTTAATAGTATTGGATACTTTCTTAATATGTTTCTTAAAAGTCAAGTTCGAGTCCATTATGACTCCAAGATACTTGAAGTGGGGGACTAGTTCTAATTCTGCTCCGTTTAAAAACACATTGGATCCTTCGATTTTGACTGGTCGTTTACTGAACATCATGCATACTGTTTTTTTTGCATTTAACTGTAAGCAAATGTTGTTCAGCCAGTGTTGAACTTTGTCCAATGCATTTGAGAGACAAGATGTGATAATTTCAGTGTTTTTCCATGTACAAAGATGACCGCATCATCGGCATACATTTGCACATTCAACTCAGGACATACATTAGGCAAGTCATTAATGTACAGTGAAAACAGTAATGGTCCAAGAATGGAACCTTGTGGAACCCCAACAGGGTTGACAAGGTAGGGGGATTTGGTACCGTTGACCAAAACACACTGTTTTCTGTTCGATAAGTAAGACTTAACCCACTGTATTGAATCTGCCGAAAAATTGAAATAAGTCAGCTTTGTAAGGAGCACTTGGTGGTCAACAGTGTCAAATGCCTTCCTGAGATCAAGGAAGACAGCACCTACATTATGGGCTCGTGTCCAAAATAGATTTAACCTTTTCCACAAAGACACAGTTAGCTGTCTCAGTGGAGTGGTGAGCACTAAAACCAAACTGCATTAGGTGGAGTGGAGCGAAACCTTTATCTAAATGTTTGGTGATTAGTTTTGACACCCATTTCTCAGCTACCTTAGAGACACAGGGGAGGATGCTGATTGGTCTGTAGTTGGACATCATTGCCTTATCCCCAGATTTAAAGATCGGTGTCACCGTGGCCACCTTCCAGGACGATGGAACTTCCCTCGTGCTGATAGATTGATTTACTAACATAGTAATTGGTATTATTAGACTGTCAATATTTGTCTTTATAAAGTTGGTGTCTAAATCATCTGCATCCCTAGCCTTAGGACCTTTTAACCCTAAGATTATATTTTTTACCTCAACCTCTGTGATTTCCTCCAGGTCAAAAACTGGATGTGTATCCACAGTCGGGCTGGGTGAGACCTCAGATGGCGGGAAGAGCTTTGTGATGTCCAGAGCACTATTTATAAAATACTAATTTAGAGAGTTGGCCAACACTGCAGGGTCTTTTATCAGGGCATCATTGATTTTTAATTCTAGTACATTATTTTCCTGTTTGGTATGTTTACCTAATAGTTTATTTAGGATTTGCCAAACGTTTTTACCGTTACCTTTCGCACCTTCAATTATGTTGATGAAAAAGTTTGCTTTGGCCTGTCTTATTGTTTGTGTTACCTTGTTACGAGCATGAGTGAATTTCTGTCCATCAGTGGATAGTCCGGATTTCAAGCTCTGCTTTAATAGTTGGTCTCTGGATTTCATTAAATTCCTGCACTGTAGATTCAGCCAGAGAAGATGATGTTCCTTCCTGTCCCTGAGGCACCCTCTCCTTGAGACAGATTACTGTTTTCACCAATGTCTTCAGAGGAGAGAGTGTCTCCCCAATCAATCATTTTCACTGCCTCCATAAAACGTTGTTGCAGGTTTTTGGGGATGAAGCGTGAACCCAAGGCAGGGGTTTTAGCTGTGGCCATGAACCTTTTTTTTGTGAGTTTCCTGGTAAAAATAACAAGATTATGGTTAGAAAGACCAGTCAGGAAGTTGTAGGTTTTAACTATTCTGTCAGCTTTGTTTGTAAATAATGAATCTATCATAGTCTTGGAGGTTTTGGTTATTCTAGTCGGTTGATCCATTAGTTGTATTACAGTAGGTTGTGTTTATCCATGATCCGTTTTAAGCTCTTTCTATTTTGTTTGTCATTCCAGTTGATATTAAAGTCTCCTACAATAATTAGCTCTTTGTTGGAGTCACAGGAATTCAGCAGGAGTTTTACCTGGTCATAGAAATCCACCTTAGCGGTGGGTTGTCGATACAGGCAAATCATGGTGAGGGACATTTCCTCAGAAAGTGTGATTTCCACACCAACACAATCAAACTCAATATTAGCTAGGAGTGCAATCTCCCTACAAGTAAAGGTATTCCTCACAAAAAGCAACACACCCCCTCCTTTCCCCTTCAGTCTGTCCTTCCTAAACACATTATATCCTGACATAGATACAAGAGTGGATGGTGACGACTGTTTTAGCCAAGATTCAGATATTCCCAAACAGTCAAGGAGGAGATGTTCTCGCTGTTCATGTTTATTGCAGATGATCCATCTATATTAACCCTTAGATACTGTACGACCCTCATTTCCATGAAATGGGGTTAGTTTCACTTTCATGACTTCATCAACTAATTTATTTTCTCTTTGTATTAAGTAGGCAAGGGTCAATTTAAGGTTCTGGGATTAGCCACAATTTACAAACAGTCTGGGACACATTGACAGATTGTAGTTTATTTCCAAAGTTTGTTTTGGCATTTCTCGCTCATCCCAGAGTTTCCCAATGCTAATCTAGCAGCCATTTTATCCAATCAATCAATAGAAGGCCTGCACACAAGCATGAACACCAGTTTATCTCCAGATTTTTCCAATCTTAACATGCTTTTATGATAAGGGAAACAAAGGTCAGAAAACACTTAGGAGTACTTAGACAGATAATAAAAACACTAACAGGGAAACATTTTCAGGGAACTTTTGATATCTGTTGATGATCCTTCATACTTTTTCTTTAGTTAGGTTTGAATGTAGGACTTTTACTTCTAGTATTCATGTTCTTCTTCTACCACTAATATTATAAGAAAATGTGTAGATTAATTTACAAAACAGGCAGCAGAACACAAAGGGGATGTTCTGATTTACAGCAAAACCACTTCCATGCTACTATCTGCTACTGTCTAGAAAGATTAACTCTTGAATAAATGGGATTAAAATTAACACACTCTGCCTCTCATTAATCAGTGAGTGATAAAAGCTCTGATGAGACAAAACGAGGAGATAGAGGCTGGACTTTGCTCCTCCACATATGAGGCCATCTCTGTGTCTGGCTCAAAGTTCAGGTCCCACACGCACACAGTTTCAGGACTGCCTCTGAGTGTGTTTGTGATTTCCCTCAGTCTCTGAACTCTTGCTATTGAGCTTTCTGAGTTCCAGAATGACCCGTTGGGCCCTCGTTGCTCACCTGCTGCTCCTGCTGGGCCTGTGCCTCCACAGTGCTGTCAGTCAGGATGCTGAGGAGCCAGCTGCTGAAATCCCACCACCACCACCCCCCCCAGCCTCTGATGGCACACAGGGGGAGGACGAGGGCGGTGATTGGGGACTAAACTCTGTGAGAGGCGGCTTTGAGTCGGTCGGCGGATACTTTGACTCCATGCTGGAGTTCATGGGGGGACGTGATGGAGTGTGCCAATACCGCTGTCGACATGGTAAGTCGATTAAAGCCCAATGTATCTGAATAGAGAGGTCTACCATGGATATATCGGTTTATATTTGTATTTTTTTAATCGAAATTAAATTCCACTTAACACTGCTTGAATGCAGGGGAAAGGGTTGGTTTAGTTTAGGGTTGGGTCTCCTATACTCTGTGGTGTTTCCACTACAATAAAGGTAAAGTTATTGGGGAATATGTACCTAAATCTTTTGGAAAATATACATAAAAAGAAAAGCCACGGGTAAACTGCAATTCAAGTCTTTTAAATTGCAAAGTTTCAGAATAATAATGTTAATATTAATTTATTTTACACAAAACCCTTATCCTGTTTACATTTGTTTTGTACTATAAGTGGAGAAAGTATAACATAAACTGCAACAGATTTTTTGTAAATTCAGTTTTTTATATTCAGTCAAAATAAAGCAAACTGTTTAAAAAATTCAACCTTTTTGACTTTATTTATCCAAATAAATATATATTGTTCTTGTTATGTAGTTGAAAGTTGCTATAATGTTGTGTCCTGTGTAGAACAATAACGCAACCCAGTGATAGTAATGTTCTGATACAAATCACTTGATAGGATTTTCTTTGACTTATCATCTTTGTTATCATCTGGAAGAGGGCCTGGAAGCGGACTGTGACCCGAGCATGATAGGAGGGGTTTCCTGTCGGGGCCTTGTGAATGTGACTAATAACATGTGGATGGATATGGATAAACCACATAATTGACCTTTGTTCATCATGTGCCAACCTGGATCTATTTCTAAAGCCACATGGTCACCAAACCAGCCAGATTAGCATGTGAAACAATATCCACATGTGATATGTTGATTTGCTTCCCCTGTCTCAAAGGTAAAGCTCCTCTTCCTCGCCCGGGCTACCAGATGCCTGAACCTGACGGCTGTGGCGCCTACTTCTTTGGTCTTCCTGTTCCAGATGGGGTATGCTTCTTCTGTCTCTAAGGGCAGATTTTTGTGGATTTATAATTCTTTGAAATGTAAAGGCTGTAAAAAGTGGAATCCGCATAAGGGGCTGTACACAAATGTATTGTGGGTCAGGAAGAGGGATATGTTTAAAGATTTTTCAAAAGCAAGGCTCGACCTAGAAACATAGTTGCGACATCCTTTGCCCTAATGTATCAATCTTGTCCCACTTTTAAGCATGACAGGTTAATAGAATAATACTTTTAACATATGTGCACATTAGGAGTGAAATAATAATCCACAGAATTATGGAAAAGATAAAACATTTTAATAAACACTGAAACGTACCTGTATTTTTTAACTAAGAGCTGAATGAGCAAACAGGTTTTTTGCTTCAGACATTAGCCGAACAAGTTGGTTGTACTGAACTACCTTTATATTTTATTTAGCTTAATTTGAGTAGATGGTTGGAGGGCAAAATAATGCTCTTCTCCTTAAAAATCTAAGATCTATGTCCCCTCTCAAATCTGACAAAACTAACAAAAAAAGTATGATTGTTGTCTCCTTTCATGCCAAAACATACCTTTACCATGGAACTCAAAACACTATAATTTGGACGTATTGTAACTATTTTAAAGCTATGATTCTTCATTTTGTATTAAATGTACTTCTCAAAGTAAACCTATCATGATATTACATATAAAAAACAGGCAAAAACAATCCTTCACTAAAAGGATAATAATACATAGCGCCCGCCCATTATAATTTTCATACGGTCCCTTAATATTCAGAGAAGTGTACATTTGGAAAACTAACCACCTGTTAATCACCAACACTTGCATATAAACATTTGTATCATCTCTGCTGTGTACCAGGTGGACATGGGCATCCCCGCCATGACCAAGTGTTGCAATCAGCTGGACATGTGTTACGACACCTGCGGCTCCAACAAGTACCGCTGCGACTCCAAGTTCCGCTGGTGCCTCCACAGCATCTGCTCCGACCTCAAGAAGAGCCTCGGCTTTGTGTCAAAAGTTGAAGGTTGGTAACTATTTAACCTTTCTTTTCATCCAGGGCAGGGTTATTGAGCCTATCCCTGTTTTTTTCCCTATAGGTAAACTTCCCCTTTATTGACTCAACAACTAATTTAGGGACACACTCTACTTCCATACAGAACTTAAAACTATTGGCCTGGCCTAAGTTGCCTTACATAAACCTATTATTTGACTACTGAAAATGACGTCATGAGGACCAGTTGGGATACTTAATTGCACTTTTCACAACCCTGCTCCTCCATCATGTTTGAAATGTCATATGTGGGTTTATTGTAATGTATAAAACCCCTTTCAAAGAGATCTTAAAAGGATGGTAAATACAATTTGGTGATGATTTGTCTTTAGGGTGACTTCGAAAATCTGTCCAGGGACTACAGATGAAAAATAGCCTCTTGGCTAACTCTGGCACATTTACAGAAATGTTGATTAATGTGCGCTGTCCCTGTTAAATAACTGAATAAATAAATAAATAAAATTAAGCAGTTAAAACAGACACCAAAGTAATAGGTGAGAAACAAACACGACAGGAGGATTAAAAACTGCTATGTACTGATAAATTAATGTATAAGAAATAAATTGTACGGTGAATAAATAATGCATAATGCTCTGTACTGACTGCCATCCCTGTTTCTGTCCCTTCCTCTCCCCAGCATGTGAAGCAGTAGCAGACACCACTTTCAACACGGTATGGACTCTGGGCTGCAGGCCCTACATGAATGGACAGAGAGCAGCATGCTTCTGTCAAGGAGAGGATAAAGATGAACTTTAGGTTAAAGATTTGTATAACAGCATCAACTACAGCAACCCATCAGAAGATGTTATGGTGTTGTGAGGACTGCTGTGTGACTACTTGAGTAATTTATTTGTTTCAAGTTCTTGTTCTGGTTTTGTTCTGTCATTATTTTACCTTGCAGCAACATTTAGATGTTATTTTCAAATGTTTAACTGTGATGCAATTCCAAACTGTATTTGTTTGTCTGAGGAGGTGCATCAATGTTGTATGGATTGTTAGTATGAGAATCGATACAGTTGGAGAAGGCATATGATTTTGGAAAAGCTAAATGATCTGTGCTGTGAACTCCACTTTACAACACATAGATAACCTCTAGTGCTTCAAACATTGGCTGTGTTCATCCAATGTGTGTGTGTGTCCTACTACTAAGGATTGTCCACCATATGAATAAATGTTATTGACACACATGATTGTGATTTTTTTCATTTCATGGTACACTACTGAAAGCATTTCCTTATGAATCATCAGATCATTGCATTAGCATTGGTACAGTATCACTTCAAAACATAACGTATTAAAATGTGCTGCTACAAAAAGATAATTGGAATGAATGAAAATACACTTCTACACTTTTCTTTTAACTTGTGAACATTGAAAAGTACTGAGACTTTTATATTAGTTTGAGTAAAAGTTAAAATAAAGTTCAGAGCATAGAATTGAAGGATTACCTTTACACTCTCGGCCTGGTTATGTAAACAGCAAACCTATTTTCATTCTTCTATGACTACCAAGCAGGGGAACTGCCATTGTTGGTTTAAAATACCTGCCTATTATACTCACCGGCCACTTTATTAGGTACACCTTGCTAGTACGATGTTGGACCCCCTTTTGCCTTCAGAGCTGCCTTAATTCTTCATGGCATAGACTCAACAAGGTGCTGGAAACATTCCTCAGAGATTTTGGTCCATATTGACATGATAGCATCACACAGTCGCTGCAGATTTGTCGGCTGCACATCCATTATGTGAATCTCTGGTTCCACCACATCCCAAAGGTGATCTATAGGATTTAGATCTGGTGACTGTGGAGGCCATTTGAGTGACAGTGAACTCATCGTCATGTTCAAGAAACCAGTTTGAGATCATTTGAGCTTTGTGACATGGTGCGTTATCCTGCTGGAAGTAACCATCAGAAGATAGGTACACTGTGGTCATAAAGGGATGGACATGGTCAGCAACAACACTCAGGTAGGCTGTGGCGTTTAAACCATGCTCAATTGGTACCAGGGGGCCCAAACTATGGCAAGAAAATATCCCCCACACCATTACCCCACCCTCCACCCGCCTAAACTGTTGATACCGGAGGCCTGTACTACGAATCCAGTTCAACATACCCTGGATATGTTTGAGTTACCTAATCCAAAACAAACGCGCTCTCGCTAAGCGGTCCTACGACGCTGGTTATCAACTCGGTAACTCAAGCCAGGGTTTCTCTGTCCGGCTGAGTGCGCGTTCACATGAAAGGGGCGGGGCTAGCAACATTTGACCAATCACAAACATGGAGAAGCGTACTGACAGCGCAGCTTCATACTTCCTGAATGAAAAGTAAACTATAATATTAGACAAATATGAAGACGTTAAACTTTAAACATCCATGACTTAAACTCTTTATCCAGGATAAAAGCCACATAGCTGCACCTGCAAGGTGAATACAGCTGGTAAAAGAAAAATGTTTGAATGAATACATTAACAGGTTTATGATATCACTGCACTAAGACACGAGTGGATCTGACTTTAATTACATTTGACTCGAGTGTTTCGTCAACTTAATGTGTTGCTTAAAATAATACTTCTGCATACAGTATGTGCAACCCAGTCTCACGGCATTTCGTGTTATAGTCACGACATTTAATCTATTGATTCGTGTTCACCAACACGATTTTCCCCTTTTTTTCGTGTCACACAGAACGATTTTAAAAGCAATGTATTTCTATTGGTAGTATGTTTCGTGCCTGCACCACGTCTTTTTGTCCGGTCGGGTCTTGGAAGACCGGAAGCTGTGTGGTTCATAAAAACATGTTCTTACTCAATATCAAGCCAAGATTATTGATTTTATTTTAAATTGTATAATGTCAGACTTTTTTTGCCGGCCGTGAGGAAATTAAATGGGGCTCAGCCTCAGAATACTGAAATCTGTTTTTTTAGTATTCTGTTATTCTTTTCTAAATAACACACTGTTATTTACTCAACAATAACACACAATTATCCTTGTTTATATTTATTTGTTTAATTCCATAATCTCTGGCTTTTTTGCCGTCCGTCAGGAACTGAATTTCAAAATAAAGTCACCGGAAACAGACGTAGGCGATACACACCCACTGAACTGATTACCCAAGATCCTCAGCTATGGTTGAAGCTCGGGTTGCGGTCGAATAGTCCATTTAGCTTAGGAACCTTCCTAACGGAGTGAAATGACCCGGAAGTCCCTCAGTGGCAGCCATGATAAGTGCCGTTCGAATTCTCTAAGGTTGCGGTCGAATAGTCCAAAAATTAGCTCCTAAGTTCTAACCCTATCGTCTATTCCTTGACCTCGGAGTGAAACGTCACGGGGTTAAGGGTACGGTACTTTAGAGAATCTTACTGCACTTTCACTATCCGACGTGTTTATGATGTGCCAGCGGAGGTCATAAATGTGCGTCTGCTGCTGTGGGGAAACTATGGAAACTACAGTTTTCTATACAGCGGACTACAACATGGATGTTTAATAAGAACGAGGGACTACTGTAAACTCATCTAGAGACTCTGCACCGTGCTCTGATGCTGTTGTTTTATGCGTTATGAACGTGGACAACAGAGAAACATATTCTTCATGACCAAAGTTGGAATTGAAATAAAAAAGGAAATTGAAACTTATGCTCGTCACCCTCTCCCTCCGGTCCACATTAATACAAATGATCCCAATACGTATGATTGTATGAAAAGATCTTAAAATCAATACAAATGTATTTATTATAAACGTTAGTCCTTAACATCTATCACTGTGTATATCACCATTCAAACATCTTAAAAGTTGAACAAACCCCACACAGCTCAGTAAAGACTGTGAAATGTTGACTTTATTTGATCATTTCAGTAAAAACTAACGTTCATATTTCTCTTTTTGATTATAATACTGATGAACGTTCAAAACAAAGCACTTTGGCAACTTACCACATACGTTTTGAAATGCTTAATAAGCACCGTAACTTTCATGATGTCATTTCTCGTTCATAATCGGTTGTTTCCCTGAATGGCCGACTGTTGTGTGATGGCAAATGCCGCGGCCGCAAGGCATTGTGGGGCAGCATTTTCTCCTCTCCTTTAGGTTAGGGAGGTCCAGTGGTTCCTAAGCTAAAGGAGGTTATAAAGGAAGTTTGAAACCTCCTTTCCTTTCACTTAGAGAATTCGAACGGCACTTATCATGGCGGCCACTGAGGGACTTCCGGGTAATTTCACTCCGTTAGGAAGGTTCCTAAGCTAAATGGACTATTCGACCGCAACATGTTCTATGGCACGTCTCTACTGGGAATTGTAGTTTTAAAAGACGTTTTCGTTTCTCCCACAATTAGAAGTTGCCAGTATTAACTGTGTACACCCCTGGAGGTTTAGGGATAAGAAACACATTGGTGTTATCAAATTTAAAACATATAATTAATAAATGGGTGAAAATGGCTTGTGTCCATAATGGGCAGCATTAATATATACCCACATGACAGCTCATTGTTACTTTGTAATTCTACTCCACTATTCAGAGGTTAACCTGGTATTTTTACTCCACTACATTTATTTTAGTTACTTTGCAGATTCTGATTAATGATGTGAAATATAAACAACCCTTAAAGCAGACTTTAGTTACACCTGAGTAAAATTCAGGGAAGGTGATTGTCAAGTGCCAACAATCAGGCGAGATATTTGGTAGTGGGTGCTTGAGAAGACTAAACATTTAACTGCAGATCCCTATAAAGTATATTCATTACTCGTTATTCTCTACTAATAGTTCATTAAAGACTGTATATAATGGCTATTTTGCACATCCCTTTCAAGATTTCAAGATTTTCCAAGGTTTATTGACATATCATATACACAACTATGGTGTAGTTATGCAATGAATGAAAAACTTGGGTCGCAGGTTCCTCAACAGTGCATTACAAGACATCTATCAATATGTGTGTACCTCCACCATTAAACTGTCAAATTCTGCACATTTCTTATACTATCTACATACATCTTATAAGAGTATAATTAATATGTAAAATATCAGTTAAAATAAGTGCTTCAACATAGTTAACATTGCAGGAAAGCAATATATTAGACGTTAAGTACTTTGTCAGGCTTAATATTTATCTCTAGATACCCCCAAAGCTTTTTTCTTATTTAAAAGAAGACCTTAACCTAAAGTATTATTTAATGTTTGAATAAAGGTTAATTTGTTTTTCTGTTTTGCACATCCTCCTATTAAAGGTAGGGTAGGTAAGTTTGAGAAACCGGCTCGAGATACACTTTTTGTTATATTCCATGGAATGCTCTTAACATCCCGATAGCAATGAATATCTTAAGTGCTTTGACAAAAAATCCATAAAAAAAGTCATCTGTGGAAGCCGTAGTACTGTAAAAAGCACGACCAATCATTTTAGCCGGCCCGGCTAAAATAACTGGATGGCCTACCTGCCTGTCAGCCTTCCATCTGTGCACAAACTTATCTCGTGCCCTCATTGGTCATGTGCGCGTGTGTGTTGGAGGAGGGGCTCTATAAGGAAGTGGCAGATTTTCTCCGGTTGTGTATTTTCAAATTCTAGCGATCTCGAGCCGGTTTCTCAAACTTACCTACCCTACCCATAGACTGTATATATAAAGACCCTACCTTTAAGTAAGCTTTCTTAACGCTAATGTTATATTAGTCAGATTGCTCTGAAAATGGGAGGTGATATTCTATTAATTTTCACGTTCACACAGTCAGTTGATTTTTGCCGGCCGTCTTTCCTGCAACGGCAGTTTTTCTGTATTTCCTTTATCCTGTAATATGACTTGATAGCTTTAAACTCCGCACACTGAGCTCTGATTGGTCAGCAGGCGGTGCTTTCACTGAGTTGATCTCTTATCCTGGAACCAAACCTGCCCCGGAGCATGTTAGCCGTCAGCATAAGTTACCATGGAGATCTAGCCCGGTAAGAAGAGAACCAGCGTCGTTGGACCGGAAACCCAGAGTTTTCCCTGAAGTTAGCTCACTAAGCGAAAATCCGGCTTTGTAGTACAGGCGTCAGGTAGGACAGATCCATGCTTTCATGTTTATGCCAAATTCTGACCCCACTGTTCAAATGGCGCATCAGAAATCCAGACTCATCAGACCAGGCAACATTTTTCCAATCTTCTATTATCCAGTTTTGGTGAGCCCGTGTGAATTGTAGCCTCAGTTTCCTGTTCCTAGCTGACAGGAGTGGCCCCCGATGTGGTCTTTTGCTGCTGTAGAACCATCTGCTTCAAGGTTCCACGTGTTGAGGTTCAGAGAGGATCTTCTGCATAACTTGGTTGTAACTAGTGTTTGTTTTTAGTTACTGTTGCCTTTCTATCATCTTGAACCAGTCCGGCCTTTCTCCTCTGACCTCTGGCATCAACAAGGCATTTTTCGTTTTTAGAACTGCCGCTTACTGGATATTTACCCTTTTTCGGACTGAAATACTCAGACCAGCCCGCCTGGCACCAACAACCATAACACGTTCAAAGTAACTTAAATCACCTTTCTTCCCCATCCTGATGCTCGGTTTGAACTTCACCATGTCTACTACACATGCCTAAATGCATTGAGTTGCTGCCATGTGATTGGCTGATTAGATATCTGCGTTAACGTGCAGTTGAACAGGTGTACCTGATAAAGTGGCCAGTGAGTGTATATATATTGCATAGCTTCATATTTGACTTTCTTTTTTTATTTCTCTATCATTCATTTATCCATCCTTTCCCTGTTTCCTTGCTCTGCCATCTCTGTTTACAGCGACAGTCTTTCCCAATGGGTCTGTTGGCAGTACAGGATGGGAGTGTGTTTCTCCTTCACTCTCTTTAAAAAGCCCTCTATCGCCTCTATAGTCACATACACACTCACAAAACACTACAGTAGACTGCCCTGCAGCAATGATAATACACACAGCCCACACCATAAGAAACAACTTATTTTCTTATTTTTTCTCTTGTCATGTTCTCAATGTATTAGGCTCTGTATGCTTAGTCTGACCCATCACTTCACTTAATTAAAAAAATAGAACAAATGAAGACAAAGCCTGAAAAACATGTATTTTTAATCAAATGTATACAGCATCAAGGAAAAAGGCTGCTAAGAAACTGATTTCCAAAGTAGTGATATTCACAGAAATAAGGACCATTTCTTAACAAAAACTGGTAATAAATGGCACAAAAATATTATTTTAAGGAATATATAGTTTACTTTTCAGCATGTTTGGAAATACAACTAAAATACTACATCCTCCTGTAGCAGTGACTGAATGTGTATGTTGGATCTGAAGTCCAGATGATCTCTCACAGCAGCTTCAAATGATCAGACAGTCATGACGCATCTACACAACTAAGGAGAGAAATATGATTAACAAGTGAGACCAGACGACAGTTACTCAATTCTGCTGACATATTTCTGTTTTAATTGTCATGCATTGAATTGTATGGACATCCTTTATCTATACAATAGCATTTCAATAAAGAACTGAAAGATAGGCTGCGATGTTTTGTTGGTAGGAGCTAAATATAACAAACAGGGTTCCTGCAGGTTTCGCCAACTCAAATGTAAGACTTTTTAAGACCTATTTCACGTATTTCAAGTATGAAGGAAAATTGCTATGAAAGAAGAAATACGTCCCATAATTACTTACAAAGTAAATGTATTCATGTTCAACATAAGAACAATGACTGAACATAACAGCATAACAGTCCAGAACTGTGTTAGCGTGTTAGACAAAAAGTGTGTGTGTGTGTGTTAGGGCTGTGCAATTAATCGTATTTTAATCGCAATTACGATTTTGGCCTGCCACAATTATGAAAACAACATAATCGAAAAAAACGATTAATTTGCTTTGCTAGGTTGTGACAGTGCATTAGAACATATTTGATCTAATTTATTTTAGTCTAATTTATTTTTATTTATCATATTTATATATGTTTAGTAGCTTGTGGAAGTGCGCTCCAAAATATTTGTTGATCTTGTTTATTGGTATTTATTATTTTGATATTATTTATTTAAATGTATCACTTATTTTTGTATTGGTTTTTCAGTTGAATTATACGTTCAGGGTAATCAACAGTTACAAATATACTGTTCAAATTATTTTTTGTTTTAAAGTTCAATAAATGGATGTTTTCAAAGTCAATGAATAATCATATTTAATAATCGTGATTATGATTTTTGCCATAATCGAGCAGCCCGTGTGTGTGTGTGTGTGTGTGTGTGTGTGTGTGTGTGTGTGTGTGTGTGTGTGTGTGTGTGTGTGTGTGTGTGTGTGTGAGAGAGAGTGACAAGAGCTATATTCAGAGCTCTGCTGCCTTGGCTACAATCTTTCATCGTTGCTGTTGTATGATTGGTGTTTAACTACGGTATTTAGCGTCTACAGCACCTCCGCTTTTAGGGTTGACGTAGACCCAAACGTCGCCCGGAGGTCCCCCGGTGTTGTTGCGGGAGCTGCTGCACTAGCTAACGCTACATTAGCAAAACAAACGCAAATGTATTTTGCAAAAGGTGCAGCAGGCTTCAAACACGTTCCCTCCACTGATTTCAACCAAGCACTAAATTCGATGTTCTATTTCGTATATGACTTCGCCCTCTAAGGATATCGCTATTGGGTAATCCCCTGCGCACCTTCGCAGCACTGAGACACTTGTAGTCCACGCGCACCCGCGAGGTGGGCCCCACCCTCGGGCTCCCTTCCGGTATAAATAGGAAGGAGGCCCGACAATCTGCTCCCTCTTTTCTTCAGCACCCCGGTACTGAAGCACTTTAGAGACACTAAAGAGTAAAGGCTCTTTTAAGAGCCACCTCGAAAAAGATCCTTAAACATGAGTACACAGGGTTGTGTTACCCGGCCATCCGGAAGTGCCAGGAGGGAGCGGCAGCGGCGGCCCCTAGGAGCCTGAAGGCTCCGGTGTCCTCATACGTCCCCCTCACTAAGGGGTTAACGGATGTTGGTTTCCGACCACAGCTCCCCTGGAGCCGAACCTGACGGCATTGTTCGGGGTGAAGCAGGCCAGCACGGTCGCCGCACGGCGTCCCTTGCTTTCCTCCCCCGGGGACCAGTTTGTCGTCCGCCAGACTGACCGGATGCATCAGTGTGCCTTCTAGGCGTCTGCAGCGGCGAACAACATCGCTCTGCCGTCTCACTCCATAGTGAGACTATCAGAGCAGCCCTCCATGCCCTCCGAGGCTTCGGAGGAGATAAAGGAAAGTGCTGCTGGATGCTCCAATCAGCCCGGACGGGCTGTTCGGACCCCAGTTCCACGCCATGGTGGAGTCCATGAAAACTGCCGTGGAACAGGGCAGCATGTCAGCTGGCTCCAGCCTGCTGAGCGCCCCCAGCGGCAGCGCCCGCAGCACCCGCCACGGCGTCAGGGCTCGCTGCAAAAGCCTGCAGTTTTTAATCTATCGGTTAATAAACTGCAGAGCTTGCTAATTAAGCTGGCTGCCACTAATCTGTTGATTAGTAGACAGCAGGGCTCGCTGCAGAAGCCTGCCGGTTTTAACCTCGGTTAATAAACCTGCAGAGCTCGCGGCATTCCTCTGTCCGAGATACGCCTCCTACACACGGTCATAATAAACCCATGAGCGCCGTTATAACGCCTCATGTGGACAGCACTACACACACCTCCATTCATCCCCTGAGCGTGTACGCGCCTCATGATGAGAGCCGGAGTGAAACGCAGCGTGTGGAGGCTCCCTGGCGTGGCTTGTCGCCATGACGACCACAGAACATCTCGAGCATGCGCGCCCGCTCTCAGAGTGTTTCTCAGAGTGAGCGCGTGTGTGTCTGATGGACAAATGGATGAGCAGGCTGATCAGCAGAGGGTACACCCTGCAGTTCGCCTCTCCCCCCCCACAGTTCAATGGGATACAGGAAACACTCCTGTCGTCCCAGGAACAGTGTCTTGCTGCAGGAGCTGCAGGAACTCCTGTTGAAAGACGCTATTTCCAGGGTTCCTCAAAGGGAGGAAAATCAGGGTTTTTTACCCCCGTTATATTTCTAATCCCGAAAAAGACTGGGGGAATGAGACCCATCCTCGATCTGTCAGTATTCCACATGCTGACGATCAAACAGGTGCTGGAATGTGTTCACCAGGACGACTGGTTCACTTCCACCTGAAGGATGCATACTTCCACGTACCCATCATCCCGAAACACAGGAAATTCTTGCTTTTCTCATTTCAGGGAATATCAGACCAGACAATCGTCTGCCGTTCGGATATTCCCTGGCTCCTCGCATTTGTTCCAAGTGTGTAGGCTGGAGCCACTACACAGATGAGGGATGAGAGTGTGGTTTTATCTGGACGACCTGCTATTGCTGGTCACGTGGTGATCCCCCTGGGTCTCCCCCACAGGAGGAGACTCCAGAGGTGGTTAATTCGCCTGCGCATCGACCCCGTGCGTCAGAGGTAAATGTGCTGGAGCTGCTGTCCATTTGGGGAGTATTCCAGCACTTCGCCCCGTTGCTGTACAATCAAACATGTGTTGATTCGCACAGACAACAGGCCACGGCAGCCTACCTCAATCGCCAGGGAGGAGTACGATCTGCGCAGCTTCTGAACGCAGCCAGGCGGCTGCTGTTCTGGGCGCGCACACACGTTGCTCTCCATCAGAGCAATGTATATTCCCGGCAAATTGAACAGAGGGGCTCGCAGAGCGCAGGATCACCCCCCTCTGGGGGTAGACGCGTTTGCACATCGGCTGTGGCCCAGGGTGCTGTTATACGGTTTTCCCACCAGTTCCGCTGACCCCTCGGTTCCCGGACCGAGTGCGGGAGAAGCGGCTATCAGCGGTCCTGATAGCCCCGGAGCGCACGGGAGCGTCCTGGTTTCCATGCCTACAGCGTACGCTGTCAGGCAGACAGTGGGAAATTCCGTGGCGCGGGGACTCCCAGGCGAAGGGAGCGATCAGCAGCCACCCAGCCGTTTTATGCGAGGAGTATGGAGACTCAGACCTGTGTCACGCGCACTGGCGCCTCAGTGGGATTTGGCTTTTGTGTTACGCGCACTAAGCAAAGCCCCATTTGAACCTTTAGATCAGGTTCCCCTTAAACTGTTATCAGCCAAAGTAGTAGGCTATTACTTTTGGCTCTATCAGCGAAAAGGGTGAGTGATTTGTCTGCTCTCTCTGTGGCTCCGTCATGTCTCCGGATCCAAGGAGATGGCAGTTCAGCTGTTTTACGCCCTAACCCGGCTTTTATGCCAAAGGTCATCACGAGCTCTTTTAGGCCAAGAGTGATCACCTTGGATGGCTTCTTTCCTCCCCCTCACAGGTCGGAGGAGGAAGCCACATCTCATCTCCTCTGTTCCGTGCGCACGCTGTCCTGCTATGTGGCGCGCACGCTGTCCTGCTATGTGGCGCGCACGGCTGCTTTGCGCCGTTCCCAGCGCCTGGTTGTGCATTACAGATAGCGCTCATTCGGGCAGCCTCTGTCTGCACAACGGCTGTCACACTGGCTATGTGAGGCTGTGTCACAGGCATATGTCTCTGGGGTGGATCCCCCGGGGAACATCAGTGCGCACTCCACCAGAGGAATTTCCTCCACGGCTTTGCACGGAGGAATGTCAGTGGAAGACATTTGCACCTTGGTCTTCCCCCTGTTAACTTTTTCAATTTTATTTGAGAGATGTCTCCCATTCCTCTCTGACGCACCCTGTACTGAGTGTCCTCTCAGAGTGAGTGACGTCAGGGATCCAGCTGTGCGCCTCTCGGCACGCGGAGAGCGGCCCTTTTTCCCTCTTATGAGAGGGATGTTTCCTTTTTTCCTCTGACACACTCTGTACGGAGTGTCTTGTCAGAGTGAAATATGTCAGGGATCCAGCTATGCGCTCTCCTGCCTGTCTGCACACAGAGAGCTGCCCTTGTTCCCCCTCTTTTTGTCGCTGCGCAAAGTGTGACCTTCGTCTCTACTTTTTCACAGCGGCAGGTTTGTATTGTTCCCAGCCTTCGTCCCCTCATGGAGAATATTCATGTTATGCTATATTCCAGGGACTGTGATGCGCCAGTCGCATGGCGCAATAGGCATGGGTTATTATCTGAGCAGGTGTGTCTGTGCTTCTAGTACCGGGCGGACCCAGTGGGGCGCAGACTACATCTTGCTTCGCCCTTAACCCAATAGCGATAGCCTTAGAGGGCGAAGCCATATACGAAATAGAACTGAAGTTACCTACTGTAACTCCAGCTTCTATGAGTATAGGCGTAGCCCTCTAAATTCTGGGCCCCACTGGCTCCACGAATAGCTGAAGAAAGGTTGTTTGTGTGGGAGCAGATTGTCGGGCCTCCTTCCTATTTATACCGGAAGGGAGCCCGAGGGTGGGGCCCACCTCGCGGGTGGGCGTGGACTACAAGTGTTTCAGTGCTGCGCGGGTGCGCAGGGGATTACCCAATAGCGATAGCCTTAGAGGGCTAGGCCTATACTCATAGAAGCTGGAGTTACAGTAGGTAACTTCAGTTTTCCAACCAAATACGGTTGAACTTACACTTCCCCATATTTATTTGTAAGTAGATTTGAAGATACATGAGTTTTTGACTGCCGCTAGCTGAAGCTTGGTTGCTAGGTTACTAGCTGGGTGTTCTCCAATAAGGGGCCGGGGGAAACAAAGTTAGTGATTACTGGTTCCATGTTGATTTATTTCAATACAGATTGTTGGGGGGAACTGAAAGGCTCTTACCGTACAGGTTACTTTGCAGCCTGGACATTTCCCCCAAAACACATTTAGACGCGATCGCAACACAGAAGTACCTTTCAAATCCCATCATTTTTAAGACCTTCTAAATCATATTTAAGACCTTTCTTATTTTTTTTGTCATATTTAAGACCTTTTTAAGGCCTTAAATTCAGATTATCAAATGTAAGACTTTTTAAGACTTTTTTTTTTTTCCCCGCGGGAACCCTGAACAAAACATAATACATGTCAAATCATTAATGGGTACTGATCAATTATTGGAGGGTTTTTTAGACATTTCACTTGATGTGTTAACAGAGACAGTCTCAATCAGGAACATTTATCAATCTTTCATATTCAATGAAAACACTGTCAACAATCAGTGTTGTCAGGCTTTAGTGCACTTACCTTCGTAATCAGTGTGAGGCGATGGGAAGTTCGGCTGTGGGACCCTCTGCTTCACCTTCTGGTTAAATGCTTCAAGCTTAATAAAACAAAAACAATAGAAGGGGGATTAATATATTATATTGTGGCATTTTAAGTAACAGTAGCAAGTTTAGCACAGGCCTTAAAACACTAATGTTTGGAAATCCTCTAAGATTAAGCTGTCTTTGGCTCTTTTCTGCTGTAACAATGTAAATTTCCCCTCTGTGGGACTAATAAAGATATTCTGATTCTGAAGATATCTGGAACTGTTTATCAAGCATCAATAATAACTTTAAGGACTATAAACACTCATGTGTTGTAGTTTTCATTAAAAAAATGAAAACAGAAGACAGAAGTTCTATTTTGTGCATCTGCTATAATATAATGACAGCTTTGCTAAATGGCATAACTCCTCATCTCAATAATCAATGAGATATTTGCCTGAGAATATGAGAAGTAAAACTGACAGGCCACGACCATGAATACATAAATAAATGTATTTAATGTAAACTTGACAAGACTAAAGCATTTGGGGTGCAAGGAGGTGTGTGGCGCAGTGGGTTGTGCGTAGGTGTTCGGATCAGGGGATCATAGGTTCAAACCCCACTGCAGTCAGCATGTCGTTGTGTCCCTGGGCAAGACACTTCACCCCAAATCGCTCCTTTGGGGATTGCCCACAGTATTGAGTATGTAAGTCACTTTGGATAAAAGCGTCTAACAAGTATCATGTAATGTAATGTAATGGTTAATACCCAAGTCATCACTATGCATCGTTTTACAATGCTTTTATTAGAGGACCTGTAACAAACAAGGATTGTTATAGACTCCAGGACACTGTTTGGAGCCCTGGACTTCTCTGAAGCTCCAAAATACTTCATTCAGATATATGCAATATTTTTCTTTACCAAATATTGCCTCTACTGCGATTTTGATATTGCACTAGTTTTTAGTACATTTTGTATCAATTGTGCCGTCCCTATATACTCTTTCTGTAAAGTTTGGGAAATACACTTTATTATCGTGGAATATATCTCTTAAAAGCAGTCATTGGTAGTGTCACAAAATGGAATAAATGATTACATTTATTAAGTAAAAATTAAGAACATGTAGCTTGTGAGACTGAGCGCTTTGGTTTTATCGAAGGCACAGGCCATTTTTTTTTTACATCCCACGCAAAATCAAAATCAACACTCATCTATGAACATCTGTTAAAACAATAAGAAGAGGGATTTCCGCAGTTCAGATGCAGTTAGTAACAAAAATAAATTCACTATCTCCTGAAAGTGGTGCAAGTTTCCCTACCTCCCCCCAGTATTAAAGGTCACCTATTATGCAAAATGCACTTTTGGTTGTCTTTTGTACATAAATATGTGTCCCTGCATGGTGTGTAAGGAGAATCACAAAGTGAAAATACAACCCTCTCTCTTTTCCTCCTTACCCACATCTCTAAAAACGGGGGTACAACGGAGCTGATCCAGATTTGCTGTGGTCATGACGACATTACTAAAATGTGGGCTGGTTTTACATTTTACGTTGAACTACTGGCAACGTCCCGCCCCAACCTATCAATAATGTTGCAGTATCAGAAACAATGGAAATAATATGGTCTGTGTTTACATTAGCAACCAACGTTAACACTGAGCTAACACTGTACTGAGGGGCGCCGTAAGGGGGTGAAAAGTTAGGACGATTCTAAGGGCCCGTGACTGACAGGGGCCCAAACAATTTTAGAACATTAAGAAAAAAAAATGTGATATATTTTCATGGGGCCCAAAATCCCTGGCGGCGCCCCTGACTGTACTGGAGATAATATGTGTAAAGAAGCCGGATATAAAAAGGTACTGTCATGGTGGGAAACCCGTGAGAGAGAAAGTGTTTGAGCTCCATACTGTTTCAGAAATAATGCTTGATGTGGTTTGGAACATAATATGGCGTTTAATCACGGCAGCGTTTAGCTGAGTTTCTACCAGTAGACAGCCTTCTCTTCACAGAGCTCACTGCTTGCATGCGGACGCTCCAAAGGGGCGTGGCCAGCAGCAGCTCCAAAGGGGCGTGGCCAACAGCAGCTCCAAAAGGGCGTGGTCAGCAGCAGCTCGGTTACATTTATGGGGCTTTCACACCAACGCGGTTCCAGGGCAGGTTCGGAACTAGAGCCTGAAAAGCAGCGGAGCCGCCTCTAAACTCCGAAACCCGGTGCTTGTCAAGCACCAAAAAATTGTCGGTCTAGAAGCAAGAACCGCATACGTCACGCTTACGTCGGAGGCGGGGGCGGGATCAACCTGAGCCATAACAGTTTATGGCGGGTACGGAAAATTAAAGTTGTAACAAGCAGTAGCGTTGACCAAAGTGACTAGAACACAACCACACACTTATTAAAAAAAACACACTTTATAAAGTCAGGCAACACTAACCAGGCTTCGTGTGATTCTGTTTATTTGAACCATCTGTTCGCTGTCATTGATCATTGTGGAGAGTAGGCAGACGTTTTGTTTTGTATTATAGCAGCTATCGGATGGCATCAATACATGGGCTGTACAGGTTGTCATGTCCGACTATCACAAGTAGAATCATAATGAAAAATACGCCGGTAAATTGTGCCGGCTTATGCCACAATAGGATAGCAACAAGTAGTCAAGATAGTCAGTTTAGCTTTGGTTGCTATGCTAACATCACCCATTTTTAACAGCGTTGTGATGCCAAACAGCGGGCAGCACTGCAGTGGTCGGTAAATGCCGCTGAAACACATGAATAAACAATGAACCAGTACAAGGGTTGAGAAGTAGTTATTTAATTTAATCTGGCTTCGTATGACTAAAAGCAACACGATCATCGACCCGACGACGTTGGGGAGAAAATCAGCGACGTAAACGGTGACGTCATGACGCAGCAGCGGCAGCACCAGTCGGGCTCTGGGCGGTGTGAACAAAACGGGGGCTGAAAAGAAAAACCGTTTCCGAACCAGAAAAGCTCTAGCATGGAGCTAGAACGGGAACTGCGTTGGTGTGAAAGGGGCAATAGAGGGCCAGACCGAGAATCAGCACTTTAGTAACAGAGGGGTATGAGGCATGCTCCAATGGGTGATCTGTTTGGTATTTTGAGCAAAACACTTCATAGACACGTTTTGTATAGATATGGCCAGAGTTGGGTGTAACGCGTTACTGTAATAATATTACTTTTGTCGGTAACGGAGTAGTGTAACGAGTTACTTTTATAATTCAGTAATCACACTACAGTTACTAACATTGCCCCGACACGCGTTACTTCGTTACTTTTATAAAATCAGTCATAATCACACTGACAGACAAGAGGGGTTTCCGCCGCAGGTTTATATGTACGTAATCTGCGCGACTTGTGCGTCCACATCTCCACGTGCAGTGCTGCATAAACATGGCTGAGTCAGCGATAACTTTCGAGGGGTGGAGGTATGCCCATTATTTTGAGTTCGTCCGAAGAATAGACAGGAATGTGACGGTGAGGTGCAAACTGTGTCCAGGCCAGAAGCTGTTATCCACTGCTGTAAACACCACGTCAAACCTCAACAAACACCTGCAAAGAACACATGCTAAGGTGAAGCTAATAGCTAAGGACCCCCGAACCCAGAGTGAGGATCTTGTGAGTGCGCCGCCGTCGACTCCGAAGCAGCAAAAATTACCGGTAACCAAAGCAGAGATTGACAGGCTTGTAGCATCCTTCATAGTAGAGAAAATGTTGCCCATTTGCACAGTGGAATCACCATCGCATCGTTCAGAGATATACTGCGCAAAATACAGATAGCAGGAGACAGAGGACAGCCATGGTCAGAGCTATCTGGATCAGTCTTATGCGACAATGGAAACTGAACTAAAGAGAACATTTGAAACTTTAGCAGTCTGCGTGATCTGCCTGCAGGGAGGGGCGGGCCGGCCCTGCGAGTAAAGTAACGAGTAAAGTAACGAGTTACTTTATGTAGAGAGTAACAAAGTAGTGTAATATATTACTTTTTTTTAAAGTAATATGTAATATGTAATATATTACTTTTTTTTTTAGTAAAAAAAAAAAATTCATCTCTGGATATGGCCCTATAATATATTGTTCAAATATAGCATAATAGGTGAGCTTTAACTCCTAATGGCATTAACAAGATTTAACCAAGCCCGAATTAAACTGTCATACTATGATATCACAATTCTGTCAGTTTTGTTACTGAAATGTTGTCCGAGACATATTTTATGTGCCGTTAAGTGTTAAAAATGAATGTTTGTGGCCCAGGCTCCAAATTGAAAACAGTTGCGCTAAAACCAAGTACCAACCCGTGCAAACTTTAATTTGACAGCTTAACAAAAATATTTCTGAAAACAATAGAGACGAGAAATAGGCAATGCTGTAACAGAATCTATATACATATTTGTTCAGTGCTGCTTAGTTTGATGATCGGAGTTCATGCAGCAGTGATTGACAGTGTGTTAGAGACTGCTCTGATCTGATTGGTCGCTTTTCTTCTGCATTGTGTAATCTTCAAATTAAAGATCATTGAAGCAGTAGAGGATTATGTTTTCACATATCTGTCTCATTCACTACTGTCACGATAAACAGATTTAACAAATATAAGTATATTTTTGATAAAGATACCTACTGTAGCTTTAAGAAAGTTGATCAAATGTCAGTTAAGAGTGATTTTTTTCTTCTGCGACACTAGATAAATACTTGCTTTGATCCACAAATTAAACTTAGCTTAGCTAGTGGCCTAACTTTTCGGCATGATAAACTGAAATCCCATCCAAGTGGGATCAAACCTCCATAACATGACCTCCTGAAATGACATGGATTAGGAAGCTAATGTAACCAACACTCCACCAACCGTTTTCCTCAGGTTCGCTTTGATTTCCTCCTCTGTTGGCTGCCGTTTCTCCTTGTGTATCGGCTCAGGTTGGGACACATGTTCAATGTTATTTTCCTGCAACTTCGGTGGAAAAGGTGGAGGGTCCACCTCAGCCTCTGCCTTCGGCACTTCGGATAATATTGGTTTTTGTTCACGTTTCGCTATTAAATTCTCCCAGTATTGAACCTTCCTGATTCTCCTTGCACTCAACTTCTTCTTATAACTCTTTGTGGTGTTCTTTGTGGTGTTCTTTTTCATTACACACTGCTGCGTACTGTCGATGACCTGCAGGCAGCGATTCGTGGAAAAAGATGCAACTTGGCCTTCACTCATAGACAAGTCTGGATTTACAGAAAAGTTTGTGTCAAGGGGGTTGTGATAGGGGTTAACCATGTGAGGTTCCCCCACAGAATCAGGAAAGTTATGATAAGGGTTTAGGGGGTAAGGACCCTCACCGGGGTAAAGGGAGGGAGGAACAGACACCTGCGTCTGTCCCCAGTAAGTATTTGTGGCAGAGCTGTAAGTGCCTTTATCGTAGGCAGTGTACTGTGAGTCCTCGGACAAACTGCATTGTGGAAATGTAGAACAATTATCCGGTTTGGGATGGGGGTTGGTTTGGTTTTGTGTAAGACTGTTTCTGCTTCCATCTCTGCTTCTGTCTATAACAATTTCTCTGCTTCTGTCTCCAATTCTGTTTTTGCTATTGTCTCTAATCCTTTCTCTGCTTCTGTCAATAATCCTTTCTCTGCTTCTGTCTCTAAATCTGTCTCTGCTTCTGTCTCTGCTTCTGTCTATAATCCTGTCTCTGCTTCTGTCTCTAAATCTGTCTCTGCTTCTGTCAATAATCCTTTCTCTGCTTCTGTCTATAACCCTGTCTCTGCTTCTGTCTCTAAATCTGTCTCTGCTTCTGTCAATAATCCTTTCTCTGCTTCTGTCTATAAATCTGTCTCTGCTATTGTCTATAATCCTGTCTCTCCTCTCTCTCGAATAAGTCTGTTCAGACTTTCGTTCCAGGTTTCTACTGGGGGAGCACTGACGCATTGGGAGGCTGGGACTTAAGCTTCTAGACTTGGTGGACCTTGAGGAGGAGGAGGATGAGGAGTTACTGAAATGTCTCTGGGGGCCACTCTGCTGACTCTCCTGCGCTCCTCTACATCCTTCTACATTTGTGTCTTCATTCTTCTTCCCGTACAGTCTCTCCTGAGTCCGATCTTCTAGTTTGCTCATCTCTTCCACTTCCAGGTTCAACCCCAGTGTTTTAAGAATATTCTGAAGCTGTTCACGCTGCACATCCACCTTTGGTTTATCTTCTTCTTCATTCTTCTTCACAACTGAAACAGGTGACTTTGATCGTATGCTAGAACCAAACTTGCTTTCTCCTCCTTCATTCCTACTTTCTTCATCGCCCGGTATGCAAAAGGTGTCGTGGCCTCTGTTGGTCTGACTGAAGCCGGGAAGCGAGGCTTCACTGTTTGATCGCTGGCCCTCGCTCCTGAAAGATGGATGTGGCTCTTTCTCTACTGCAGGGGGCTGAGTGGTTAGGAGCTGCTCGCCTGAAAGGAGATCTTCATCATCATCGTTGACAATCCTGCTGAGGAAGTCTATGTCCACTCCTTTGTTGAGCACGCTGAGGAAGCGCTGGAAACCTTTGTTGACGATAGTCTCCTCCTTGGCTGGTGAGGTAAAGCTTCGACTGGGGGGAGACGGTGGGGTTTCACCGCACTGAGGAAAGGACAGATATTCAAAAACATTTTTATTTTTTTTAAACCTTATTTCATGAGAAACAAAAAGTTATGGCAACCACATTGGAACTTCTAAAGTTCTAAAAGTCTATGACAATTGAGTTTATTAATTTAATAGAATACATTTCTGCGCTCTCTACTTCTCTCTACTCTACTGGGAATTAAATACAGCCATTTTAAAAGTTATACATCTATGATTTTAGGTCCGACCTGATAAAATTGCAAATGGACTTTCACATCAGTGTGACCAGGGAGCTTATTCCGATAAAAGACATCGATATGAAAAATGGCACTGAGTTTGATTTAAGGTTCATGGGATTCCTGTGCTGAAATGTCTTGTTATCAAATCTGATTCCAATAAATCTGCATTAAAGGTGGGGTAGGTAAGTTTGAGAAACCGGCTCGAGATACACTTTTTGTTATATTCCATGGAATGCTCTTAACATCCCGATAGCAATGAATATCTTAAGTGCTTTGACAAAAAATCCATAAAAAAATGTCATCTGTGGAAGCCGTACTGTAAAAAGCACGACCAATCATTTTAGCCCCGGCTAAAATAACTGGATGGCCTACCTGCCTGTCAGCCTTCCATCGGGGCACAAACTTATCTCGTGCCCTCATTGGTCATGTGCGCGTTCGTGTGTGTTGGAGGAGGGGCTCTATAAGGAAGTGGCAGATTTTCTCCGGTTGTGTATTTTCAAATTCTAGCGATCTCGAGCCGGTTTCTCAAACTTACCTACCCCACCTTTAAGCTAATATTAGCTAGCTGATTTATCAGTTCAGCGCTGTAAATAAACACGATAATGGATGGAGTTACACACATTTTGATGGTCTAGGTGGCTTTTAAAAAAACAACCTATATTGCAATAATAATTGCAGTATTATTTCAACATTACAAGTGATGAGTATATTCAAAAAAGAAAGTGTAATTTACCTTTAAGGTTACGGAAAGGTTAAAGGATAAGTAGCTATAGATAGAACCTAGATGGCTAGATAAATATTGATGATTACCATCATTATTAATGTCTTTTCTTGTTTTTTTTGTATATATTGATATACTTTTTTCTACAAATTAAGGGGCAAAAAGTGGTACAAACCTCTCTGCGTGCTGGATCACTGCATCTCCTCTTCATTAGCGCCTTCACTCTGAGCTTCAGGGGATGGTTGTTCTGCAGGAGACTATCTTTGCTCAGCCTGGATGAGTGCATTCGCTCTCTGTGCGACCAAAACTGAAAAACAATAAAGCAGTACAGTATACAGTTTAATTTGTGGAACACAGTTGGACTCTGCAAATTGGTAAGAAACCCAACGTTAAAAAAATATTAAACAAAGGATTATCTAACCATGAAGAAAACGTACTTACCATTGAGTTAAATCCGACAGGATTTCTTTTCTGCAAAATGACATTCACCCTGTCTTTAAGAGTTGCACCTTTGTATGTAGCTGCATTACTGGAAACGTTTGGCAGTGTTGGTTCAACTGCTTTCAGAGCAATGGCAGCTTTCTTAAACATTATCCGCTCCTCTATCTCTCGAAGCTCTTTCCTCTTTCTTGACAGCTCTGGATCTTCTTCATCCGATGGAAGCGGTTCTCCGTCTGGGTCCTGGACTTCTGAGTCTTTAATATAAACCTTATGAAAGGAAGGACTCAGTCGCTCGTGTTCCACATTCACTATCATGCTGCTGTGTGCTTCACCAACAGTGGGTCTTGAGTATTCACAGTAAGTGTCCCACTCAATATTAGTTCTTGGGGCATTCTCAATGCTGTTATTTACGTCATTTTGATGATTTGGGTGCATATTTCTCTGGATTGCTCGTATGGCATCCCAGTCGATTGGATCCATCCTTCAGCCAGCCTCACTTAAGATGTATGTAGTCAATGCACTCTGTAAAGTAGAAACAATGTGGAAACATTACTTTCGAAGAAAAAGACCAGCCTTGTATGTAGACTGTTACTGTACTGACAGCACTGAAAGAAAAGAAAAAAGACCAACTGTCTTTTGGACAAGCCCCCCTCTCGTGACTGTTGACACAACGCTGCGTTCACAAAGATTACTTTGGCTTACATACTTACTAATTGTGAGGAAAGACAAACCCTGGCTTTGGATAAACCAACCTTTATTAGACGGCGACATGTTGTACTTAAGTCACTTTGCAAATTTAGGACAGAACAGACAGCAAAACTGACTAGCGTTAAATTCAGTTTTTAGTCGGATAGCTTAGCAGCTAGTTTAGCATCTAACAGACTGCTTACCTGCTACAGCGTCTCAAACTACCCCTTCCTCTGTCGCATAGCGGAGGTTTTGTTTTTTCAAGGCTGTAACATCCTAAATGTAATTATTGAATACTGATATGCCAATAGGGACCTTCAGTAGGCTTCCGAAAAAAGCCAGGGGTAACCGTTAATGTTAAAAAAAAATTGGCCAAGAATGCTCAGTGCTTCGGTGGTGTGAAATGTTGGTACTAACAGCATCACCCACAGGACGGAGTACCAACTGCATCTCTCGTGTAAAATCAGCAGTCTTGCATCTACTGAGTGTTAATGTTCCTGGCTTGTGATTGTGAGGAGTTAGTTGACTTTATCCTGCTAACCTGCAGTGCCATGTAAGTTCTTTAAATTGTTAGAAGATTTTTAAAGGACATTTTTAGGAGCTCTGCATTCACCGGTCAGTCAGTAATTTAATATTTTGAAATTTTTCAGAGAATTACGGCAAACCAATAGCATCAATCCTTTTATGGAGTCAATAATTAACACAATACAATTTTCAATAATAAGTAAAAATACATATTTCACAAAATCAATAGTCCTAATGTGACCTTCCACAGAGTTACAGCTGAACAGATGTTAGATGAAGTGAAAAAATCCACACATTTCCAAGCATGGTATCTATACAAACTATACTGTGTACGCAGATAATAGAAGCGATTTGTGATTAACCTGCTTCTTCTTCACAATATAGTGCAATTAAACATCTCGTAGCCATTTACTTATAATCACTGTGTTTAATGTTTTGCTATACAAATATATACAGGATCATGTTCTGCATATGAACACATAAAGGAAACATCTCATCTTCAACAACATTGAAGCTTAAGAGTAGAGCATATTATGTAGTCGTGACTCGGCCAAATCCCTCTGAAGACTAAACACTGTTTTACGGTGCCATTTCAATAGGACAAGAATTAACAAAAATTACAATGTATTAAAACAAAAATTGATACAAAAATCAAGAATGCAGCATTTTCAAAAATCAATAAACAATTTCACAGAGTGTTTTTCTTTTGCATGACATTGTGCTAAGGGTATAAGAACAGACAAAGATGGACAAAGTTCAAACAAGCATTTTCAGTTAACTTGTGGTGTGTTAATGTCATTGACTGTGTTGCTTTTTTATGTTAATTTTCTCAGAGGTTATTCTCAAATGTCTTTTGTGGTCAAAAACGGAAGTCCATGACAGTCCAACTGATTTATTTTATCAAGATCTTTTGTTGTTCTCCAGAGTCAAAAAGATTGATATTAGAATATATAATCAGTCAGTCGGATTTCCACAAGTTGCTTTATCCAGGTTGTTTGGTATCAATGACCTGCAGGCATCGGGTCCTTGTGATTGTTTTTCTCTGTGTTATGTTCAGAGGCTGAAATGTGTTAAAATAGGGCGGATTACCCATATTCTGTGGGAGTAGGTGCCTCATTTGAGGGAGTACTCCTGGAAAGATGTTCATAGGTGGGACACTGGGGTAAGGGAAGAAGGGAGGCGGGCGAGGCATGAATAGTCCAGGTCTGAAGTGGGGCATGTTGGGAGGAAGAGCCGGGTACGGCAGCGGGGAACTGTTAACTGGGGGGTACATCGGCATAGCAGGCGTCGGGGGTGGATAATTGTATGCAGGATTTTGAGGAATCGGTTGACATGCAGCGTTGCTGTCCTGAGAGTACGTTTGACATTTCTCACTCTGCTGTAAAGCGCTACTGCTGCTATTTTGAGCATAATCAACAGTTTCTTGCACCTGTACTTGGTCTACCTCCGTTTTATCCCTCCGAGCACTATACAAGTCTTTTTGGTTGTAATATTCCCTAAGTGATGGGCTAAAACTAGACCTGCTTGATGATGAGGATCTGCCTTGATGTCTTGGTGAAACCGCTCGCTTTGTTTCCCGTTCCCTGCTTGCTCTGCGAAGGGGTCTCCCATCAGTGTCCTTCTTTCCATACAGGCGCTCCTGGATCCGATGTGACATCTGGCCCAGTTCATCAGATCCTAAATCCATGCCGATAGCCAGCAAAACATCCTGCATTTGCCTGTGCTTGTGCTCCTCTTCAGGTGTCAGTGTGATCTTTTCCACCACAGGGAGAGACCTGGATCTACTGTTGGAGCATTCCCCCCTCTGCAGAGACTCTTCATCAGACAGAGGGCACCTCTTTGGGCTGAAGGACTGGTGAGGAGGCAGTAGAGAAGCCCGTCTCTGAGGTCCATTGCTCTTGCTCCAGTGGCTTTCCTGTTGCCTCCCAGCATAACCGGGAGACCAGGGATTATCAGTTTTTGTGAAAGAAGTTGGAGACTGTGGTCGACCATCCTCTTCTGGGGAGCTCCGAGTCACTATCTGGGTGAGCGTGTCCACATTCACACCCTTGTTGAGCACTTCGAGGAACCGCTGGAAGCCCATGGTTGACTTCTCAGGAACAGCAGCGCTATGGGTGGTGACGTCACTCTCAAAAGACTGATGGGAAAAACACAGAAGCAACCACAAGTGTAGGGAACTCTCTGCAGTCTTTGTTTGGCAAACACATTTGTAGTATATGGAACAACCTGTGAGCCATTACAAATGTTTAAATGTTACTATTTAAACTCAAACAGCACTATGAATTAAGTACTTCCTTTTTGGATTATAATTTTTTTTTTTTAGAAGAATATTGTGGGTTGTTCTTGGCCATGGTGATTGGTTCCCTTTCAAGCTGACGATGGGAAACTAGCTACTGGACTTTTAGTAATTAGACCAAATCAAAAGAGTAATGCAAAAGCTGGATTTGTTTAAGTCTGTGTTAGCACTGTCAAGGTGTTGTAAAGGCAATGTGTGTAATGTCGGGAGCAAGGGAGAAAAAGGGGTTCAGGTGTAACCAGCAGATATTGGATTTTGTCTTCTGTGCTTTGGTCATGGTTTAAAGTCTTGAAATACAAATGAGGTTGCTTCTCAAAGATATCTGCATATGAATGCTAATACATGAAACAAAAAAGCTAACGAAAGCTATCTTCTGCCTCTTTTGCTCTCCACACTGAATGTTTACCTGCATGCAACCAAAGGCCGCTCAAAAGTGGTTGGTCAATTCTACCCTAGAAATCATCCTATACAAGAATATTGTTTCATTACCTCTAAATTCTGCATTCATATGCAGATATGTTTTTGGAGATTAAGGAAACTAAGAATGTACACAATCACTTTGGCTATGTCATGATTCGACAGGCCAGTCTTCAGTAGCTGAACATATTTGTATTTAGTGATCCAGTTAGGGCAGCCATTTCCAGGGAAAATCTTCTTAATAACACTCTGTACTACAAACTGAAAAAAATCTATGTTAATTTGATTATTTGGGGTAAATTATGAACACACGCCATGGCCTGATAATGCATATATTAATCCTACAATGGATGCATTACACAAAAACAGAAGCATTCAACCTAAAAGGTGCCATTCAGTAGTGAACATTCAGTGTTACTAAAAAAAATGAATTGTGTGTTTGTGTTGAATGCACTTCCTTTCTAATAAAACATTAGCAAATCATTTATAACAAACTATATATTAATCCTAGCACATCTGATCACACCTCTTCCTGATGGTAAAGGTAGCCACATGTGAAAAGTACCCACCTGTCCACTTGACCCATTCACTGGAAACCTTGTTTGACGGTAATCCTCATGGTGTGTGGAAGGGCTGTCATTCCTCTCTCCTGGTGCGGCATAACTCTGTTGGATATGGAGAAAAGTTCTATTAAACTTCCTTTAATAATACAAAAAACCTTACACTGATATACAATGTATACAGGGAGGCTTTTGCTCAGTGGGATAGTGTGCTGATCTTCGGATCATCGGAGAGCAAGTTAGAGTCCCACTGCAGTCAGCATTTGGTTGTGTCTCTGGGCAAGACACTTCACCCCAAATTGCTCCTGTGAGGATTGCCCACAGTACTGAATATATGTAAAGGCCCTGACACACCAAGCCGATTTTGGCCGTCGATAGATGTCTGGCCGTTGATGAGCATCCTGTCGCCCTACTCAGATTGGTGTGTCCCGCACCGTTGTGTCTTTTCAGCCGTGCCGACACCCTCAGGGTGCTGTCGGCAAAATAAAACACTTAGCGAATCAGTGCATGAGAAGCGAAATGGAAGTGAGGTACGCAAACAAACTATTAGGCACACACAGATGGCTATTCTTTTTCATTTTCATCTCACCTGGACGCAAGAATTATACGATTATAAGTCGTTATGTGAAACAGTCTGTGAAACAGTCTGTGATGGACGAGAGTGAAAATGGAACACACACGCTATTTGTTTGTATATATCACGCAGTCTGTCTTCTGGTTGCCTCTTTTGAATGACGAATACAGACTACCGCCGCCTGCTGGTAAGGAGAGTTATTGCCACTCACATGCTACTTGGCCGTCGGCTGAAGTCTTTGCGGTGTGTTCCAGTGCGACTTTTTGGCCAAGACGCAGGAGACGTGAGGCGACACAACAGTCGGGTCCGTCGGGACGTGTTCTTTGGTGTCAGTTGGTGTGTCAGGGCCTTAAGTCGCTTTGGATAAAAGCGTCCAACATGTGACATGTAATGTAATGTAATTTAGTGACAAACCTTCGTAGATGGATCTTGTGACTGTGTCCTCTCTTGTGAACCGTCTCTGCTCCTTTCACGATCATCTCTATCTTTGTAATATCCAGAAGATTGTCTGCAGTCGTCATGTTGTTTCCTATAGCTGGATTCCTCGTGCCGATAGCGTTGTTTGGAGTCTTGAGGTGTTTTCCTGTATTTGAAATCCTCTTCCAGTGACGGTGTACGTTTAAAATCTTTGTTTACATGTGCACGTGAAAAACTGTTGGGTGTTGTGTCTTCAGGCTCATGTCTGTATCTGTAATCTTTGTCATCCTCTGTAAACTGTCGCCTTTTCTTTGGAGCACCCTGCTCAGGTGAGGACATCCCTCTCCTGGCTGAGCTCTTTCCGCTCCAGTCTTTGCTGTATATCATCTTAGGAGAATCACTAAACTCTGTGCTTCTGCTTGTCCTCTCTTTGCTACCATGTCCATTTCCACCATATTTCTGATAAGAATCCTTGAGCTTATCTCTTTGTGGTTCACCCCTCTCTTCCCATTTATCCTCATAGTCGTCCAAATTCCTGGAACTTCTGTCACTGTACTGCCTCCTGTTACTGTACTGAGACCTGTTGGACTGCATAATCTCACAGTAACACCAGCAGCTGGATGGCAAAGCCTGCAACAAATAATAGATAGAGAAGAAAATATGCTTTAAAAAGATGAGGTAAAGACTTTCGAAGACTTTCGAAGATTTGATAAACCAAAACTTGAGCATTTGAGATTTACCTAAACGAGAACTTTAACAGATCACAGAGGATCCATTTATTGCAATACTAAAAGTAAGTGTAAGTGACCACATAGTTGTGAAAACCTTTACTTGCAATCGTCACCGCTTAATCACATCACATATAGTAGTACATATTAATTATCATCGCTTGAAATAAGGGGACGGATCAAGGGTTCCTAACGTAAAACCATGCAATTTAAACCTAAGGACTAGCTATTGTGTGCAAACCTTTATTCCAGGTGACAGAAACAGAACTACAGTAGCATAATTCTAAGGGTAACCTGCTGTATATTGTTTAAGTTAGCAGTATGCGTTGAGTGACACGTTAGTAGTAGCCTAAATAGCTTTTGATCTAGCAGTTAGCATTACCTTACCTGGGTAGCCTTTCGCTAGTAACGTTGGCTTGGCTGCGAAATAGCAGCTAGTTAGCTTTAGCTTTAGCTAGTGCAAACATACGTAACTCACAATTTATTATCACCAAAAAATGTCTATTGACTATTTACATCGTAAAGCGACACAGTTGGGACTAGGGCTAAGATACATAAGCTAACGTTATCTGAAGCTAATTTGCAAGGGACAGTTTTGGTTAACCAGTTAGCAGTCATATCAGTAGCCTTGCTTGGCGTAAACAGTAACGAAGGATTACATTACCTTTTCCGTTGGACGACTCCACTTTTTTAAGGGGGTGATAATAGGAAAACCTTGAAAATAATTTGGGAAATGTGTTAAAGTGCTGACAACAACAAACTGTCAAGCAACTAGCTAACATTAACCAAGTTTTCACTGGCCCTGTGTTCCACCGAGATGTTTGGCTTCAGTCAGTAACAAGGGAGTTGAAATACCGCCCCCTCCTGGATGGAGTGTGAACAACCTGTGTTCTTCTTCTTTGGGTTCCGCAAAACGAGGTTAAATGTACATTAGCGCAACTATTGGA